GGCTTATGCCGATGACATCGACATCATCGGCAACAAAAACCGCGAAGTCTGTTCTGCCTTTTCCAAGTTGGATAGGGAAGCAAAGCGAATGGGTCTGGTGGTAAACGAGGACAAGACGAAGTACCTCCTGTCATCAAACAAACAGTCAGCACATTCGCGCCTTGGCACCCGAAGTTTTATAAAGGGCGGAAAACACCATACAAGCGGCTTGTCAAACATTCTTCAAACCTACTTTTCCCATTTCGCCATACACCATGCAAACATGACTCATTCAAGCAAGGAATTTTAGTTTTCTTCCAGTTCACAATGTAAAAGGGTTTGGTTTTCTTCGATTTTTCCCTCTTGCGTCCTCATTCGGTGAAAATTCCGTTGCGAATGAGGCGATTTTATCATGCACAACGTAAGCGGTTTGACCAAACGTCAACATGGCGGCCAGAGAATCAAAAAATTTTGATTTTTGTTCACATTTCCCTCAAACAGCTTGTGAAACCTTCAAACACCACCATACACAACATATGTAAATACTAGCTTTAAGCAAACGGATATTTCGCTTGGTTTGTCAAGCCGCTTGTGTTGGGTTTTTAACCGACTTCCAAAAAAGGAGGAGGTTATCAGTTCGTCGGAATATTTTTTTTTTTTTTTTTTTTATATGTATGTTACCGCATAACTTTGGACCGAATGGTAGTGACTCAGAGGTGGTCCCATACTAATATGGTTGAGATCCGATCGGCGGATCTTGAGATATATATATATATATATATATATTATTTTTATATGGGAGTTGAAGTCGGTTTTTTTTTTGCTAAAAATTACTTGTTCACTTTTAAGCACATCTGCATGTGCTGCTAAATATTCAAAATGTTATCGATAATTATTTTCATTAAGTCGTTATATTTTCAACTTATTTTGAACCTGTAAATCTCGATAACGAATGGATAGAACACGCATTGTTCGATCATAAGGATATTCATATTGGTTCTTCATTAGATCCAGAAAATTATATGAAACAAGTTTTTGAATTAAAAGATTCTTCAGGTTCATATAAGTTTCCTAATTTAAAAAAAATATATCTACATTATTAAATAGCCCTTTTCTAATGTTTCAGTAGAACGTATATTTAGTAGTTTAAAAATGTGTAGGACTGACTTGACTGGTCGTCACTGATGAGCACTGATGATACGCCATCTTGTTTCGCTGGAAAACGAGCGAAAAGTAAACCAAGCAAAGAAAACAATGAAAACCAAAATTATTGTCAGCCACTTTAAGCACACAATTTAGGTAATATTAATCATTAAAACGCTTTAAAATGTGTTGTCATGTTGAATTTACTCTTATTTAGTTAAATAAAAGTGTAATATAGTGGTGCTTGTGATGTGAACAAGCGCTTAGCTGACGAAGCAATCCCTCCATTCAGTCGTAACTCTCACCCCGGTCCACAATGTGTTATTTCCATATTCTAGAAAATATTAATTAAATTATTTCATTTCGGCAAATTTCAAAACAACGTCAAAAAAGTTTTTAGAAATTCCTGATTAATACGAAACAATAACAACTACAAAACTTAAATCAAAGTAGGGCCAAACGGGTTTTGATTTGGAAGATTATCAAGCGCAATAACATTTATACTAGGTTCACATATAAGTAGATTATCCTCATTTTCAAGCTTAACACCCTAATCTGTAATTATAACAAGAGATTAGCCATATAAAATTTGTCCCTTGTTAATCTGTAATTATAAAATAATCTCAGATTTAACCGATAACTTTTCGGTGTCCATCCTAGTTTTATCGATTGTTTTTGCGAAAAAGAGGAGAAATGCCAAATGTAAAAATAAACAAAAATGTACGCTAGCAAGTAAAAGAGGTTTGTAAAGGTATTTTTAATAAAATGTTAAGTTAAAATATATTTATATTGCTTATTATAGTAGAAAAACGCGAACACGGTGGCACAGGGAAGAAACATAACTTTTCCTTGAGATGTGAGCACAACAAATTTGACGGCTAATAATCTCAGATTTGCATGTGTAAACGGGTGATTAAAAGACGAGCTTTGATTGAGATAATATTAGGTGCGTTCATTTAAAATCTCCAGCAGAAACCAACCAACTTCGGCGAAATGTCATCTGTTCTCTCACAAGAGAGAAATATCCAAAATAGTACGCGAACAGAAAATTTGCAGAAACTTGCAAGTTAGACGAACAGCTGATATAATTTTTGTTTACATACAAAAGTGTAAAATTTAAAACGTACGAAAAGTCATCGCAAAGTGTTATACTGACACAGTTTACTGATTAAACAAATGATTACTTATTTCTTACAAGTTTAATTAGTCGCATTTTGTAATTTTTATCTTCCAACCCATCAAATTCAATTTTGTGATTTGCGTAAATGCCAACCAGCTGTTTTTGATCAGCTGTTTTCCTGTTGGCAAATTGCTGTTGGCAAAAATTTTTCCAACAGAAACCAGCAGCTTCCCCTCAAAATGAAATGTCAGTTTGCTCTCTCAATTTCCCCTACTTTGCAAGTTTTTTGCGTACGCGAACGCAAAAACTTGTAAGTTTTGGTTAAACATGAACAATTAACAGCTACGCGAACGAACCTATTGATATGTGAACATAGTTTTAAACATGTATATTTGAATCTTAATCTCAATGTTTAAGTTGTTGGTGTTATGTGATTTATGCAACAATTTCTAAAATATCATTTTGATCTTATTATTTTGAATATGTTCTTTTTAAAACATGGTTGCATTTGTTGTCTGCAAATATATCGACAGAAAATTCCTCAAAATAAAAATCCTCGAAAAATACTCAAGC